GCTGCTGTAGGAGTAGCCACTGCCTCCACCCAGGCCGACGCCACTGCCGACACCGCCAGCGCTGCCATAGCCACTGGAGACAGTGGACTGCACCACGGCTGTGGTGGGGAGGGGACAAGGACAGGAGAAGACACAGTGAGCTCATTCTGCCAGCCTGAGCCAGTCAGGAGAGTGCCAGGGCAGGGGAGGAAGGCAAGCAAAGGTACTTACAGATGTTGACTGGTCCGACGCCTTCACCATTCAGCCTAGAGGGGAGGAGCACAGACAGGATGAGACCTCAGAGAGCCCTTCCCTGAGCCCACGTGGGAAGCCTCAGCGTGAGGAATGGCCGGTGGGAGAGTGCTCTTTTAGTTATGAGGCAAGACTAGTGATTATGGCCATGGCAAGTGTGCCCCAATGTTGAGCTGGTTGAGCTGGGGGCCAGCCATCTAGAAGGTGAGCTCAGATACTGGGGGAGGTTGTCGGGTCCCCACCTGCACTCCTCGCCCTCCAGCAGCTTGCGGTAGGTGGCGATCTCCACATCCAGGGCCAGCTTGGTGTTCATGAGCTCCTGGTACTCCTTCAGCAGCCGTGCCATGTCCTGCTTGGCCTTCTGCAGGGCGTCCTCCAGGCCTTCCAGCTTGTTCCTGGCGTCCTTGAGAGCCATCTCCCCACGCTGCTCAGCATCTGCGATGGCGGCCTGCAGACTGGCACACTGGGAGGCAAAGCAAGCAATGAACTTGGAGTCTGGTGCTTCATTGAGCACTAGCCTGGGTCTTTGATTCTGGTAAGGAAGATTCCTAGAGGTCCAAATTGATGATAAATGAACTCAACCTCTTCCTATCCACTAGTTTTGTATTTTGTAGCTTTTAACCAGTCTGGTTCATTTCATAGAGATGCATAACCCTTTTCGTTAACCACTCTGCAGGAGAATGTGGTTTATTACTGAAAGGAAGATGCTACTACAGTGGACATGAGATGAGGGGATCCTGGTAAAGCTTGAACTGTGTTTTGTGTGGAGTGTTGTCCCCCATAGTCACATGAAGATCGTTCATGTATATCTCATATAGATGCCTCCTGAGTAACAAAAACTTGTTGACCATGTTCAAGTGGGGTGATGACTTTTCACCTGACACCTTGCCTTTTGCCCACCTGGGAGTGTCTTATTCACCTGGGCCACACTGTCCTTGTCCTACACCTTTCCTCCCCTCTCTTTTTCACCTTCAATCTTGAACAGATTATTAGCAATATTCCTCAGGCTTTCCCTCCCAGCCTTCCTTTCCCAGCTTGTTTCTTTACATTCCCAAGTCAATCAGTCTCCCAAGGTAAACCTTTTCAGTGCCACTGGACTGTATTTTTAAAGCCCTGATCACTTGGGATTGCTTCTGTCCACATATTTGTACCAGGAGCTAAATGTGATCAATGCCTATGAACCAGTGGAGACGTATCCCTCCTCTTCTCCCTGCTTTTTCCATGGGTTTGGGGGGTTTTTCACCAAGGAAGGTTGAAGACTGGCTGATGGTCTAGCGAGGAAGTAAGTGCTGCTTTTCTTCACACTGCCCCTCACCCTACCTGCTTCTTGACGTGGTCGATCTCAGATCTCAGCCTCTGGATCATGCGGTTTATCTCAGCAATCTCCTGCTTGGTGTTACGCAGGTCGTCCCCGTGTCTGCCCGCGGTGACCTGCAGCTCCTCATACTGCAGGCCGGAGGGAGAGAGAGAGACAGTGTCTATGGCTTTACACGTGTGGACAAGGCCTTTCACTTCTACATCAGGCACGTGTCAAACATGAACCTTATGGCTTCTCCTCGAGGATTTTTAGGAAAAGTGGATTTTCCAAGACTGAGAAGAATTGTAAAACTAAACGCAGACCATCCTTCTTGTGACACCCTGAGTCCCTCACTCCCTTAAGGACTGGCAGTGCCCTGCATTGTATTTCGGAGAGTCAGCATCCAGAGAGAAGCTGAAAGCAAATGCTAATCGGTGTTACCAACATCAGCTCTCCTCCCGCCTGGGGTTCTTTTTCCTCCTAAACTTGGGCACAATTTCTGTAATGATCCACTCTAACAGTGCAGTGTACACATCCTGCAAGAGGACTCTAGTGCCATCTTCCCAGTGAAGTCCCTGGCCTTCAGGTAGACAGGGTGGGACACAGGGATTTCTCTGTAGCTGCCGACGCCCTGCTCACCTTGCTCTGGTACCAGGACTCAGCCTCTGCCCGGCTTCTCTGAGCGATCTCCTCATATTGGGCTTTGACTTCAGCGATGATGCTGTCCAGGTCCAGGCTACGGTTGTTGTCCATGGACAGGACCACGGATGTGTCTGAGATGTGGGTTTGCATCTGAGACAGTTCCTGCAGAACACGCGATCATAAGATCCTCTTTGCCTGGGACGTTCACAGAGGTAGCCAACACCAATATCTGGCCCCCTTTGAAGACCCCCTCAGAATAAATCAAAGGACAGTGGAGATGCTTACTGTGTCATACAAGACTCTCAGGAATTGGATCTCATCTGCCAAGCTGTCTACCTTGGCTTGTAGCTCAACCTTATTCATGTAGGCACCGTCCACATCCTGGGGAAAGAGCCAACAGCTTGCCGTCAGCTGAGCCCCCTTCGGGGATACCCAGAATTCAGTGTCCCTCCCAGTTCTCCTGTCACGCTGGAGCAGAGACCCAGAGTCACTTCTCCCCCTCAGCAAAGAAGCCTGAAGCCTTGGCTTAACCTGCTCACCTTCTTCAGAGTCACAAACTCATTCTCTGCTGCTGTGCGCTTGTTGATTTCATCTTCGTACCTACGGGAAGAAAGGAAGAGGTGCCACTGAGCCAGCGGGTAGCGCCCATCAGAAACGCTGCCCGTGATCTGACCCTGTCCGCACGTGCAATGGATCCTCATGGATCTCTCCTGCCGTGAGCGCCTACAAGGCCACTTGTGTTGCTACTGAAATTTTCACTTCTCTAATCTCCCCCTCCTCCATGGC